CCTAATGACCAGTGACCATATGTTATTGATTCGGGTACAATTTCATTATTGTTGTAAATATCAACTTACAAAGATAGTGAAAGTTTTCATTTCTTGTCCCAGTAAGTCAGAGCTTTAACAAATGTTTTTTTGGCAAAATAGTAAATGTAAATATTCAGAAGGGGTGCAAATAAGTAATATCGAGATAGATAAAGGGACTTTACTCTGCCTCAGTTAAAAAAAAAAAAAAAAAAAAAAAATGCGTTGAATTGGTATTGAAGTACTCTGTGCCTACACTGTCGACTAACTATTAAACTTCAACTTTTCATTAAAAATAGATAATGAACAGTCTCAAAATGGAAGCTGAGTTATAAATCCACTTAAGTAATTCAGCAGGTTAAGGGTTTACAATAATTTTCACAAGGGGATATTTATATCACTTACATGATCTTTGCACATCAAGTAGTTTAGTCAGTATAAAATTAGTAGTTTACAGTAGGAAACAATTCAATTTTAAATTTAAACTGGAGTTGTTTACAATAGTAAAGTTCACTGCAACAGTCAGCATACTTTTTTCTATTTATAGATACAGAAGAATCTATCACAATTTTAATAGTTTCTGAAAAATTTCAGTCTCCCCAAATGGATCATTAATGAAGAATGAAGAATTGTTCAGAGAGGTTTTAATCCAGAAAGTAAATGTTAATAAGTGTGTTCTTTATATAAAATACCAATAATGCAATTATTATATGTAGAATGTACCAAGAATGTACTAAGGTGTACTACTGCTAGACTCTGATCTTGTAGAGATTGAATGAGGATGTTTATCTTTTAATGGAATTACACTGTATTTATACTATACTGGTGATAAACAATAAAACTGTAACATGATTTGTTCTTGCACATGCAGGAGGCTTGTTTGGCACAGGTTATATGGTAAACACATATCTCCTGGCAAACTTTTCTAGCTTGCTTAATTAATAGCATGGATAAGAGATCATACATCTTTTATGGGAACTATAGATTACAGATGATAGTTTGATGAAAAACAGTTCTAAGAAAAAGTGGGGAAAACAATAAATGGCATCTCAGCCTGTATTATGATATCGATATACATTGACAATTTTGTGAAGACAATAATTTCATTTAGGAGCGCAGTTTATTGGTAAATGATTGAAAACAAAAGAAATTCTGACGTAAATTAGCAAGGATAGTAATAGTAAAAGGTTATGTTATTTATAGTACTTTATAAAATGTAACAACTATTTTATGTTAATGTCAAATTATCGTGTTACATCTGTAGCTCAGGTGAGAAATACTGAGTGGGAGAAGGCTTTCAGTTTATTTATAACCGCCTAGAACAGTCTGTATTGAGATGTGAGTAATTTTACAGCAAAAAAATAACCCCATAGCTTGAACTACATGCATGTTTGATTTATGAACTGCAGACTACTAAAGTAAAACTGTTTTAATGTGGAAGTAATTGTCTATAGGTTAAAACGGTGAATACATGAAGTGGTTTAAAAATAATGATGTTTTTTTTTGTAAATAGAAGAAATGGTAGAGTTAGTGAAATGTTTCCAAATTCTGCTTTTGGAGGGTGTTTTTTTTAATGTTATGATTTGTTCATTAAGCTTAATGTATCTCTCTAATATTTTCTCCCAGTATTTTCCTGAAATTAAAGAAATTGATTTGTTTCAGGATAAAGATAAAGTTCTTTAGGACACATCAAATGAGATAATAACTCCTTTTATAAGACAATGAAACATTTCTACATTGATTAAATTGTTGTCTAAAAATTGCACTTTATTATGCTCACTGCTTTAAAGGCCAGCTTCTACTAAATTTTTATTTTGGCTGTATGCAGAGTTTCCTTTTTGCCAGATTGATTTGTTCATGCATTTAATTCAGGTGTTTTAACTGACCTTTTGCCAAACATTACATGGAAGCATTGGCGTCTGTTTGTTTGCATTACAATGAGTGCCTAAATGAATAAATTCTGAAAAATTAGCAGTCTGGTGCCTTATATTATTTATGTTTATAAATCTAAGATTAAGATATTCTTGGTGCCAAGAATGCATTTACACATATGTAATTATTAATTGGAACTTCTAATGATGATGATAATTAATTATATTTTTATCTCTGACACCCGTGCAGTGATCAAACTTTAGGTCAGTGGTATTATTTTATCTTTCTCATCACTTTTAAATAGTTACTAATATAGAAACATATGAGTTTCTATGACCATTTTCATTGCTTAGATAGTGGCATGATGCCTTGATAGAGTTTGATAATGGCTTGCCAAGTTATAATAACTTGTATTGATTCTGACATTCGGATTCCAGTAATTAGGTCATCTATGTCAATTACAGTAATTAGGTCATTTGTGTGTCAATTAATCAATTTATGTATACCTGCTGCCATTAGTAATAAGATAAAATTATGTTTGTTGTGTTTTAAGTACAAATGCTCAGAATTTATGTTGAGGGAAATATTAAATTAATAAGTATAAAAAATTTCAAATTGAAAAAATACAGAGGCAGTTTGTAAACTTCAACAATTGTTGAACAAAAACACTGATTTACATTCTAAAAACATCAGAATATATCACTGCTGTTCAGAATATTTATACATGTAAGTGTTGTATTGTTTTCTTAAGTTGGGTGTTTTATTAAAAAAAAAAAAAAAACAGCAACAAAAATATAACATGTTTATGTGTTTAGATATTTTCATTTGAAAACTGTTAATTTGTTAAATATTTAATCTACAGTGTGCCTTTCATTTAAAAATATTCATATGTGATTATAAATATAAAGAGCCTTTTTGTAAGTCATATTGTGAAATTTGTACCGAAAGAAGATTTCCTATGTCGTCATATAAATGGCCATAAGTTATTGCCCTTGCACATTATCTGTGAAGAGGGCATCGTCTGTATTGTCAGTTCCATTTACATCTCTATAGCTTACAATATAGATTTATCCTGTATGATTCTTCTTGTTATTTTCTTCATGCATACAGTTCCTTTTTGATTGATTAGATATGTTCTGGGGTTTTCAGTTATTTCTCACAGGAGCTATGTATGTGACTGTTTTACAAATATACAAATGGGAACTTAACTCTTGTCAGTTTAGAAGGAAAAGTTTTTTTGTGCAGTCACCAATCAACTGGCAATTCTAACAATAAAATGAAAGCAAAAACAAAGGAGACAACTTCAGCTTCTTTTGATTCAGTGTTGTAATATTGAGATAGCCAGATTTACAGGAATGCTAGTTAGGTCACAAACAAATCATTTTGACATGAATTGGAAACAAAGTGTTAACAGTCTTTAAGTTATGTTGTTTATGGACCTAAAGTTTGAATCAAGGTCCCAGTTCACAATGGCAGAGCTTTTAGGTATTATATTGCTTCTAGAATTCAAGTTGTTTATGTGTTAAAGGTGATAAATAGTTGCAGAAAACTGATTAGTTTATTTACAAACTGAAATTCTAATGACAAAAACCACTTCACACAAACAATTGAAAAAAACTATCCGAATGATTGATTGTTCTAGATATATAGCTAAATTTGGATAGTGTCATACAGATAAATTTACCATGTGAAACTACATGAAATTATCTCAAGAAATTTCACAGTATTTTTAGATGTTGTAATTCTTGTAATAAATTAATTGATTTTGTTAGATTATTTAGAAAATATTACATAATAATTTCTGTGAAACAACTTCATAGGCATATATGACACACAGCTGAATGATTCATATAAATTGATGGAATACAAATTTCTGATTTGTTCTTGTCAGTTACGCAGGCTTCAAAAGGTTGACGGATATTTGCACAGAAATATTGATCTACTCTTAAGCTTCTACTAACAAAGGCTTGCGTTTCTGTTAATAGGCATTTTATGTTTTCTGGTATTTTGAAATGAAGACAAATTAAGGATTAGGCATTTTATGTGTGTGTAGTATTTTGAAATGATTACGGCAAGGGATGAAATTATTCATTTAAGTGATACATATAAGTTGTATTAAGTCCGGTTAATTATTATGAAATAGTAACCGCCCCCAAATAGTTTAAAGTGGCAATTAATGTGATTCAAGTTGTTCACATGTTGTTTGAATGTGTCAATGAGGAGGATTAAACATTTCATGTGACCAAAATTAATGATTGTTGCATGTTTAAATGCACTAGGATGTAGCTATCATCATTCTTGTATATATTCACACTTGTAGATTATTTGTTATAAAACAAACAATATGTTCTTAGATGATATACAACACAAACTGGATCTTCAAATCAATGAATTTCAACAAAGTGGAAGTACATGAATATGTATCTGCAATTGAAATTCCACCAATTTTTCAATAAATTGAATAATAATTTAATTCTCGGCTGTAGACCATTGTTGCTCCAAACATGATTTGTTAAAATCAAATATATTTCCACAAAATTTTGTCATTGAGATACAACCATATTGACCCTGTGTGCAGCAACATGATCATTGTTTGAAGTAAGACTACTGTAAATTAAATCCTCCAGGGGCAACACCTTAATAACAACAAAAATCTTCGCCTCCATAAGGGTGTTGCTGTGCAGTTTGTACTGTATCCCTTTCAAAATTATAACAATGTACATGTTTTTCAGTTGATGTAAAAGTATTATGTCGACCATAGTAGAATGTTAAATCATATTATTCTGTTACAGGGATCCATTAATACTTGAAATATGAGCTGCATCACGACAAAACCAACGTAATGCGTTTGCGACCAGCATGGATCCAGACCAGCCTGTGCATCCGCGCAGTCTGATCAGGATCCATGCTGTTCACTTACAAACCCTATTACAAGTACAGAAACTGATAGCAAACAGCATGGATCCTGATCAGACTGTGCAGATGTGCAGGCTGGTCTGGATCCATGCTGGTCGCAAGCCCATTATGTTGGTTTTGTCGTGACGCGGCTCATATATATTATGAAACTTTTTATAATTTCTATAATTCAGTTGTTTGTTTTCTCATTGCAGGATCTAACTGTGGCTGTATGAGTGGGTGGAGATAAAAGCACGAGTGTAGAAAGATGGCAACTAACGAAGATATGATTGATGGGAGACCCGTGGAATACGGGCTCACCCTGGAGGAGCTCAGGGAGCTTATGGAACACCGTAAACATGAGGCCTATGAGACAATACAGACTAGATATAATGGTGTTCTAGAAATGTGCAAGAAATTATATACATCTAGTAATGAAGGTAAGTTTCGAAGTTTCAGCTTCTAGGAATTTATCGCACACCATCATAGGATTTTTTCACATTGGCATCAGAAGGTATTTTATTGTACAAATACTATTTCCATTTAAACCTATGAAAGCTTGGAGATAGATGTCTGTATTGTCAATAGAAATTCCAATCCGTTGTTCACACAGAACTTTTTATTCTTTATTCATGAAACTGTTTTGCCTGATAGGCATGTATGATTTTGTTACAATTTTAATACAACGGAAATACTTATATGGACTTCACTATCAAATTTAGCTCGAACAAACATTCCCCTGGGTACCGCTCTCGAAACAATCAGAGTATATTATTAGTTTAGTAGGTAGTTAAATAAGAAAATCCCACAGAACAAGCAAAAAATGATACTGGGTCATGCTATACATAGATGAATTGTGCTGCTGATGTATATTAAATTTCGATGAATGTTCAATTATTTGTCATCTGGGGAAACGTCTGACATGGCATTTATATTGATCGAGGTTTTTTCCCCTTCATTTTTGATGGGAGAACCTGATTTACTGTAAATGGGTTGTAGACAATCTGGCGAAAGCTAGAAATTTGTAGTAAACATTATAAAAGAGGCCATTAAGCTGTTTTACAACCATCTTTGGCTCATGGTAAATGTTTATGTATTTAATCCTGTAGACAGCTAGGGGCAACAGATCTTACCCATGTGACCAGTGGAGTCACCAAGTTAAGCATGCACATCAGGGTCATCTGATCATGGTGTGCACTGTGCTATTAAGGCAGTACTTATTTTTGGAAATTTTCTCTTTAATAAAGTTTACCATAATTGATGAGCAAATGTTGACCTTAAAAAAAGGATAACCCAGGAAAAATTACTTATGTAAAATTCCATTTACAGTTATGTATGATGCCAAAGTTGGCAAGCACATGTTTAAGGTTATCACTGGTGAGAATGGTGATGAATCAATCAAACTTAAGCATTGGAATTATTGATTAGTACAGGATTACTTTTCCTCTGAACTAGGTGTACAATAAGTTGAATAACCTCTAAAGTTCTCTCCTTTTTCTTGTAATATTTGTAATTTTTCTTTCCTGCAAAAGGTAACCTTTACTAGCAGTCAGAACAGAGCTGCTGTGGAGGAGTGTGAATTTAATTAGGCCGGTGAAGTCCAGAAGTAGTTTAAACCTTTATTAGTGGCAGGACTCCAATTTGTGAGCAAAAACTCGCCAATTTGTGGGGCAATGTGGAGACAGCAGGCCAGTGCTGTGTGTCAATTATACACCAGAATACAGTCTATAATTAATGGTCAGATGCCTGAGATGAGACACCTTATTGATTCCATTTCCAGCACTATATACCATTGTACTTTGCTTCTATAAGTTTAACATCAAAATGAAAGGGAAAAAAACAACAAAACACTTTGTATAACTTATTTGACTTATATGACTAAAGTTCTCAGAATTTTCCTTGAATTGAGGATTTTAAAACTCCCAAAAGTCATCTTTTCTTATGAAACTAATAAGAAAACTGTTAATTTAATGAACTTATGAACTTTTCAACCATTAAGTCTTGCAAAAAAATGATAAGAAAGGCTAGCAATTGTCATACTTGGCTGTGATGTTTATTCTACCTTTTCCAATCTTTCAGTATGTTCAAAGCATCTGCACACTGTGTTTCTATAGGAAATATCTTAAAATGTATTTGTATTTTTATTAATGCACTTAAAAAGTTTTATCTAAAAAGCATTCTGACATATCTGATGTAATCGTAAAGTTTACCTAGCAAGATTCTAGACATTCTTGCATTTATATGGCATGATCTGTACAACCTTCCATTTATATATCAAAGTATTTTTAACAGAAACCATTTACTGTACTTCACTCACTGTGATGTGTATAATTATAGCATTGCCTCTAATCAACTCTCCATAGAAAGGCTAAAATACTTCAGGCTTTATATTTTATGCTCATACAATTGAGAAGAACTTAATTTCTGTATATTTAAGAACAGATTCTCTTATCCAGTGTTATAAAGTAGCACTATTAGCTCATGCATGCTACAAGACTGTCGTTTAAAGATCAGCCAAGAATCACTTCCCCTTTGCATACGTGGGTTAGAAGCCTGGCAAGGACCAGCTTCTGGCTAGCTTACTGAAAGCCTGTGGCTTTACTGAAGTGCTTAAATAATGCATGAACAGTGCATCTGACATGTTCTACCACTGGAGAAAGCTGGAAAACTATCAAAACTTATGACCGGTTCAGCGTTGATTTGACCTAAAACCCAACAAAAACAATCACATTGTAATAAAGTAAAAAAAATAATGTTGAGTCAATGAGATGTGTTTAATAGTGTAGATGGTACCTTCACAATATCAGTATTAAATAAATAGAAAAATTCTGAAAAATTAATACTAATGGGAGTTTGTTATATTAGTGAGTATAAATTGGAAATAAGACAGACATGTTCAAAATATATGAATATTTCATTAGCTTTGGTAATTTAAATAGATGAATCTTATAATTACCTACCAGCGGTTAATCTTGATTACCCATTACCCGGGAATATAATTTTGTCATTATAGTATAGTATAGAGCCAGGCCTGAATTGTCATCCAGAACAGACTGTTACATAGAAACTATATTCTGCTCAGTTTTAGTATTTTGTTAGTAAATCTAAATACTGTGAATCAGTGGGCTGTTTCAAATTTAAAGTAGGAAATTTCCTTTTCCAGAAATTCAGTAGAGTACAGAATAAAAAAGGAAAAGAATATGAACTCATTCCAGAGCTGTTGATATGATGTAAATTGAGATGTTATAAAACCAGCACTGTGGTAGAACAAAATGAGGAAATTTAATAAAGTGATTTTTCAACCTCAAACTTAATACCAATAAAGATGCCACTCCAAAAAAAAAAAAAAAAAAAAAATTAGTATTCATGTATCATATCCGGTCTGTCTTGTTGGCAAAGTACATGTACTATGAGTAAAACAGTATGCTAATGACTTGCAGACCAGCTCAAGGGTTAATCCATGTCTTGTTCATATGACAAGAGAAGTTGCATATTTATCTTGACAATTTATAGCAAACTGCACATAAATCTGTTGGCTTTCCTTGGTAATCTGATATGTTTACAGAGCAGTGAGTGATTCACTGAGTCACAATATGGAAAATGATACACATGAAATATGATGTCATCTCTTAGGAAAATAATGTAATCCTTATAAGTTCTCATTGATTTGAAGAATTATTTTGGTCATCATTTTAATTCTATATAAGTACAAGAATATGAAAAAAATACTTTCAAGTCTATATTGTTTTGCAAATGACATTTACGTCATAAGTTTGTGGCTTTAATGATTGCATCATGTCTTGTGCTTTTTGGTCAGTTTTATGTGAGAAAAATGGATTGAAACCAAAGCAAAGTAAAAGTCATCATACAGTCCAATGAAGGTTTTCCGCCCCGCATTATAATGAAGGTTTTCTGCCCCGCTCTATAATGAAGGTTTTCCGCCCTGCCCTTGGTTTTATACTTCAACTTGGTATTAATACAGTGATTATGATTTTCATCTAAATAATTTCTATGTTTTATTTTTCTTTACTTGATAGTGTAACATATGATTTTGCATTCTTTTTTTCTTTCACATTTCAGGCTTATCGGGTAGTCCTGTGGACTTGGAGCATAGGCGAAAAGTTTTTGGTGGAAATGTGATACCCCCAAAACCTCCAAAAACTTTCTTTCAGTTAGTGTGGGAAGCTATTCAGGACGTTACGTTAATAATTCTATTAGTAGCAGCTCTTATTTCATTAGGATTATCATTTTATTCCGGCTCGGCAGCAGAAGGTTAGTCAATTTAAATTTATTCAACCCTCCGGAGAATTGCAATGACGTAAGGCCACTTACATCGTTCGTCATTTCTGTTGTATTGCACTCTCGTATTTCATTTTGAATAAAAATGAAGGTACTTACACAGTTTCGATCAAAGAATCCTGGAAACTTGTAATTGGCAGTCTCAGATTCAAAGCCCTTAAAAGCATTATCAAATATAGGCTTAAATAAGAAAATATAATAGTGCATTTTTCACCTCAGTATTCTGCAGTGCATTAATGTTATTATTGTAATGTTGCGCTTCAAAATGCATCATTTTTAACTTACTCATTGTTTAAATGCGTTTGTACGTGACTGACTGACGTAAAAATATGAATATTAAGAATAATTTGACATTGTTAGGGTAAAAGTTCAGTCAGTCTTTTGGGCTTTGTGATGGAACAATTAATCAGACACGAATACGCTGATTCTTATTCTCAATGATATCTTGTCACAAAATGTCCGAATCAATATTACCATGAAATGATTTCCTACATGAAATGTATTCTTGTTGTCCTCCCTTGTTGCCACGGTAATGCAGGTCTCGGAAATTGGAGCTTTTCTGAAGTAATAAAGTAGCAACTAGTTACAACTAGTTTACAAGTTTTACAAGCAAATATGTTTCCAGAAATTACACATGGACAAAAAAAAACCTGTTTTAAGAAGTTTTTATTCAAATCATTCCCTTAATGGGTTGAAACAAAAATAGACAGTTTTAAATGACAAACAGAAAATGCTCAGCAGATATTGAAAAAAGACAGTGTTTTTTTTTACCCCAACGGTGTCAAATTGACAACTAAGAAGAATGATTTAAATTAAAATATTCATATTATATAAAAATCTTATTGTAGGAGAATCATGTTAAACACTTTGACTAGATCAGAATTGTCAAAATTTTCTGTGAATTGTACATACCATATTTCATATTTTGTTTACAATTGCTTAAATTTATTTGGTTTAAAGTATCTCAAAGATTTTATGGCTTGCTGTAAATCTTTCATTTGTAACAAATTATGATTAATAGAATGGCTGATTTTTGCAAGGACACTTTGAGATATGAACAAAGTACAAGTATTTGAATGCAAACAATTTACTGAATGTAAATTTGCTAATAATGTTGAAAGTTAGAAAATAATTTTCTTAATTCCCATTTTGTTGGTATTGATTTTTTAAAACGTTTATTCGATAAGGGGAACACAACCTGTCCTTTGCTTTTAAACATTCTCGCCTTCTTAAATACTATCACTGGCTAATATTGTTATTGTGCTACATAATGTTTAACTCTATTTAATACTGTAAAACACAAATGAAGTATAAGAATGATGTGCTCTGTCCTGCCTAGTGTTGTCAAGGAAATCACCCACGCTTCCGAAGAATTCACAATTTTGAAACCTTTTTTATTATTATTCTGCATATATGAATACATTAGCATGATTATCCATTGTACAGTATCCATTTTACATGAAAATGATACTTAATATTGGCAAATATGAATAGCCCATTTGTGCCAAGGTTAAAAGATCACTGGCATAGGTCAGAAGCCACCTAATATATGTATAAAATGATACAAGTTGAGGTTACGGCTGTCTAAAGTTGTCTACATTGGATATGACACCAAGTTCTGAATTTCTTCCTCCAAAACATATATCCCAACAAACTATATCAGTATATCACATAGCTCAACTGACCATTGCAGTCTTAAGAAATGCATCATTTTTCAAAAAACTTTTAGTTAATTACATTTGACTCAAATGTAATGTTTTTTTATTGTACATATGTAAATTGGTATCATACATTTATATATTATTATATATGTATATATATTATTAACTTTTGTCTTAACTCAAATACTGTGCTACATTTATACCCTTGTCCCCATGGATTTAATTTGGAAACTTACCTCAAGGTTAAAGGGACTTTACTGAGTTTTCTGACATGACAGGTTTTGATATAGGTCCAATAACTTGTGATTATTCCTTTGCTTGGTTTTTTCCGGACGGATTATTTTAATTGTGAAAATTGACCCAAAATTGAAAAACATTAAAAGGCTTTTAACTAAAATCATACTAAAAATCACACAAGAATACTTCTCTCAAATCATTTGCATATCTATCCGTTTTAAGTGCTCTAGTGGGATCTTTGAATGATATACAATTTTGTTTTTGTTTTTTAGCTTTTTTTTCCCCAAGTGAATTTCCTATAACAGTTTTACTTAAATGTATGTAAGATAAATAAGGCAATACAAGGCACATGATTTGATATTATATCAGTAAAAAAATTAGTGAAATCAGATTTCATGTTGTAAATTGCAGGTAAGTACACATTTAATCTAGGAAAATCACTGTTTGGAGTATGTTTAACACAAATATATCCATTTATTTCACTGTATTGCAGCAGATGGTTAGTTCAGATAACATAAAGATGCAATATTTGTTGACAATGCCCTTGATCTGTGATTAAAGGAAATGCTTTGATGACAGAATGAGCTTCTCTTTGACTGAACTAAACCATGGCCTCAACACTAAAGGTAGTATTCTGCCACAGTCCTTTACATCCAAATGTGGTATGCTGTGATTGGTGCTGGTAAAGACCCACAGAACAAAATAGTTCATTGTCTGGTAAATCAAAGAATATGAAAATAAAATTCTTAAATCTTTAAAAGTATAAAAGTGTTTGTTTTGTTATCATGCTTTAATTATTCTATTCTATTACAGAGGATCAAGGAGGTGGGGATTCATCGGAGAAGGAAGCGAGTTGGATAGAGGGTGTGGCTATATTAGTTGCTGTTGTTGTTGTTGTTTTGACAACTGCTTTTAATGACTGGCAAAAAGAAAAACAATTTAGGGGATTACAAGCAAAAATTGAACATGAACATCAGTTTAGTGTGATACGAGCAGGTGAAGTGATTCAGATTCCTGTAGGAGATATAGTCGTTGGAGATATTTGTTTAGTTAAATATGGTAAATATCTCACTCCATTTTTCAACGACAGATGATTAAAAAACGATAACAATACTTATTCATTTAAAAAAAGTTGTGATTTGGTTTCTGAAATTTAAATTCAGTTTGAAATACATTAGTTGTGTAGAACAATTAATGAAAATTGTCACTGTTGCTAAATAAGTGTAGTAGTTTCCTATTTGCACTAAAATAAGTGAAGCTATAGCCTTATTCCCTGCAGTGTTTAGGTCTTTAACATGCATGATGACTAAGATTTTACCAAGGTTTTGCTATTTTCAATTTTTAAGCTTATAAACATAATATTCTGGAAGAGAGTAAGGGGATTGTACACTCATTGGCTTTATAACTTCCTAAAATTTAACAATTTATATAGAAAAAAGAAGCTACTGTCTGTTTTGATGGCATAGTCAATGTGCATTTGTAAAAATAATTTTCTGATTTAAAAAAAAAATTGAAATGAGTTCTGAAAGAAGAGTTGAGTATGTTGAAAGAGTAGGTCTTTTGGTTCTACCTAGACGAAGGAGAGTACAGGTGGATTTCTGTCTCTTGAATTTCTAAAATCAAGAAATATAGAATAGTTTGTCATATGTTTGATTTGTTACCCATTTTACTATATATTTAAAAAGTTGAAAGACAGGCTTATGGTTTTTGCCCTTAACCCAGAGATCATTGGTTTTGGCTGTAATGGGGTCAAGGTCATGTTTCCTTGCATTGCAGCAGTAATACAGTTAGTTCTACAATGTAGACGAGAATGTGGTTCATATCAGCTTCAAGAATTCATCTCAATTTAGCTAGAATTAATATGAGCTGTGTCATGGCAAAACCAACATAATGGGTTTGCGACCAGCATGGATCCAGACCAGTCTGCGCATACACGCAGTCTGATCAGGATCCATACTGTTCGCTATCAGTTTCTCTACTTGTAATAGAGCTGGTAAGCGAACAGCATGGATCCTGATCAGACTGCGCGGATGCACAGGCTTGTGCGGATGCGCATGCTGGTGGCAAATGCACTATGTTGGTTTTGTCGTGACACGGCTCATATGTTTTAATATTAACTATGTTTGAAAAGATTACTAACTTTTTGTCCTCTGTTTCAGGTGATTTACTACCTGCTGATGGTGTAATTATACAAAGTAATGATTTAAAAGTTGATGAAAGTTCATTAACTGGTGAATCAGACCATGTAAAGAAAGGAGAAGTAAATGATCCTATGTTATTGTCAGGTAAGACCATATTAAGAAAAAGGGGTGAAAATAAAAAAGTATAACTCAAAGGTAAGGTTAAACTTAAAAGAGTTACTGCTCCACTGCTGCCAGTTGAAATCCTTGCTCTATACTGCATTCACAACATTTCAAATACCTTTACATGCTAATATATTTTAAGGAGGCTTAATTTACTGTAGTCTCCCAAGATGTTAAGCATTCTGTAAGACATACATATGTCTGTTATTGAATGATTTGTTAACAGAAACACTGATGGGTATGTTTATTTTACTTACCTGAAATGAGCCATGGATTTACAAAGTAATTAAACAAATCTATATTTAGTTGTACAGCAGCTCAGCATATAAATAAAACAGGCTCTCGTTCTCTCTCTATCTCTCCCTCTCTCTCTGAGAGATATTGTTGGCCAGATTTTGTAAGATAAGTACAGAGTGGGCGGAAATTTGCAGTGATTTTCCTATTATTTGCTTGCATAATTATTGAATTAATATTGTGTCTCAATATCCTATTGCCATGGAATATGCAGTCTGAAAATGTTTAGTTATTTGCAGTATTATTTCCTCGTTGTGTAAGTGGGCGTAATTCTGTAATCTAGCCTGAAAAAACAATGTTGTCGCTCAGATAGTCTGTATTGTTAATTGCTTAATAAGCCCTGGAATTAAGCATGAACAGAATTTTTTAATCTGGGCCACAAATTATCACAAGAGATTGAGATTGATCAGCAAGTAAAGCTTGTACATACAAATTAAAGTGTTCATCATCAAACCATTGCAATCCAGGCATTGTTTGGTTTGAGACCCTATTTGGAGTGAGGACCATGTTTTACTCATTTAGCGTTCTGTACTTGTTAGTGCCAGAAAAAAGACTTGAAAGTGGTTCAAAGAATCTTCAATCTTTCATTTGATACTTTTCAGCTGAAATAATTATGTATTGAGCTAACATGTCCATCTGTTTTCAATATACTTCTATATTTAATGTCTGTAATAGATATATATTTTTTGGATGTAATGTCGGTTATGTGCTGAAAAATCCTTATTTGTGCATAAAAATATGTGAATTCAGCAGTAAGTTAAGGTGTTAACATTATGTGAACAAGCGATTGCCTGCTTCCTTAACTAAATATTTTGTAGAAAAGTGCATTTTGTCACAGTATATAACTGGCAAACACCCATTGAATCCATTTGTCAACTCATACAAGTTACAAAATTACTTGTATAGATTGGCGTTTATTTCCATTTATGGTAAAAGCATTATAAATAGTAACAGTAGAAGCATCAAAAGGAGCATTGCTTCTGTTGTAATATCTATAACTGAAATAATATCCTTGCTTTGAATGGAAATACTTGACATTTATTATATTAGAATTTTCCAATATAACACCATGAAAGACGCAATAGCTCTTGTATTCTTTTCAAGCATGAAATGTGTTTTATTCAAGTGTGTTTGTTAGAAATTGCAGACTTCTGATTAGTTGTATCATTATGTAACAAAAACCATTCCGCCAAAATTAATTTGTCTGTGGTTTTGTGGACATACATAGTTTCCACTGTAATGTCTTTTTATAGATTTATTTACCGTATTTACTCTCAATATACTCTTTAAATAACAGAGTGCTTATTGTACCCCACCAGACAGTGTATGTGACTGTGTTTATAAGGGGCTAAACTGGAATCACTTTATCCTTTCCCAATTGTATTTCTTTCATACCAGTTCCAAGTATTCATTTTAATTACTCTCTTCAATGCATTTTGACAAAAAGTTGTGCCCTCTATTTTGTCTATTTGACTTAAGTTTCAGCTGTTGTCTCCTTCCTCACATCATGTAAATTTTCTTTTTGTTTATTTCAAGTATAGTAACTGTTCTATATAACCGTTTTCATTAAAATGATTTGCACAGTTGTTACATTGATATATAACACTTGTCATGTGATTCTGGTTATATAGTCATTCTGTATAAACTTTGCCAAAAAAATCAAAAAAATCTTTACAAATAATATCATACTAAGGAATTGAAACTGTTTTCTATATATGATATATGTATAGAGTTTCATCTTATAGTTAATTCTGTGGAATGTATTTTATTTCATCATATATTACAATAATATATTGACAGAATTGCCATATTTCACCTGGTATTTTAATTTTAATTATTATGTTAGGTACCCATGTGATGGAGGGAAGTGGAAAAATGCTCACAACTGCAGTAGGTATCAACTCACAGACTGGTATTATTTTCGCCCTTCTCGGCGCCTCATCGGATGAAAAAGAAGACAAAAAGAACAAGCAAAATTCAGAGAATAATGCTCAGGGCCAGAATGCAGGTATACAGAAATTGTAATTGCAACATGTGTAACCGTTACTAGGTTCCTGGACTTTTTTTTCTCCAAACTAGAATGTTCGCATGGTGGACATGTATGAAACTAACAGATTATGCACATTTTTCACCCAGTTACCTAAGTTCTTCTGTTTTACCCTCTTTTTTAACCCTTAACCTGGTGAATTTATGGAATGGATTTGTCCAGCTTTGAATTTGGATCAGTCCATTCAAAGTTAAAGGGATTTTGATATCAAAATACAAAAAAAAATGAGTTACCAACAGTATAGAGCTTGGTTAGACCAAAATCTGTACAGGCTGGCCTGGCTTTATACTGGTGGCAAAGGCTGATCACTCAGTTCATACAGGTTAAGTGTTAAAACTTGTTAATAGGCGACTACTTTTTATTATTACTGACTATAGATTAGAATTTGCACAAAATCCTTTTTTTGCGGAAAAAAGTCATTATTTAAAATTTCGGGATAGGTAAATGATTTTATTTGTTGTGTTTTTATTCTAAGATACGTTATATAAATGTTAGTGTTATCTAGGTAAACTAAATATTTTCCTCAAATTATATACAGCAAAATCCTAATTTGTAAGGATTTAAGTTAAGTTAAAGCTGTAAATAAAACAAAAATGCTGCCTTTGTTGTACACAGTTAAGTAAAAATCGAAATTAGATCATTGCACAATGAAGTGAAAAGTAAACAGTGGGATAATTTAATTACATGGGTAGTTACTGGGGATATATGTGACACTTGATGTCTTAGAAAATATCATGCTAGGCTGAGGAAAGCTCTGGCACCACAATTTTTATAACTGTTTATATCTCATATCAATTTGGCAATGTTAATTTGTGATATTTGAAGCACTTTATTATAACATTAAAATATCTTTTCAGAATTTTTGTCTTTTAAATGCTTAAAATCTTAAAACTTGTTCTCTTTGCACTAGGTGTATATGTATATTTCAATAACCACACATTTATTACAACTTGATAACATCTTTATTTCATTTTCTCTATGTCTTTATTTCATGTTTACTACATTCAAACTTCATTTCTACTACATCATTGCTTTTTTGTGCTATTTTTAACTATAACTAGCTACATCTTTTTATCTTGACTACAATTTTAATACATCTTCTTTTCATCTTTACTACATTCTCTATTTCATCCCTGTTATATCTTAACTACATCTTAATATCTTTACTACAATTTTACTACATCTTTATCTTATCTTGACTACATATCTATTTTATATCTACTACAGTACACCTTTGCTTCATCTTTTTATCTTTTGCTACAATATTACATTTATATTATATGCAACTTACATCTTTGATATAAATTAATATATCTTTACTTTTCTTATCCTGAAATGTCTTTCATGCAGACATATTTTCAATATGTCAATTTCATTTTTCATTATGTTTAGTGATATCCCTTATCCCTCACTAAATATATTAAATCAACACGTCTATTTTCCAACCTGAATTCAGTTCAAAAATAGTAAACAGTGCAGACCATGATCTAATGGTACAAATGTGGCAGCTGATTTAAGTGTACACTGGTTGCAGTTTTCCCTGTGAGAACTATGGAATAATTATATCTTTTAAATGTTTCTGTCATCGATGTCTTTTATAGTATTTCTATTTTATAGTCTTTCTTTTTGCCTGAACTTTGATATAGATTTGGAATGGTTTGAAAGTATTTTGTGTTTATTATTTAATTACAAATGTAAGGTCTTTAAGTCTTCCGGTTCTATACATGGTTTGACTATAAAAAGAACCATGAAACCACTGTGTTATGGTTTGGTGCATGTTTATATCTCTGAAGTGGTCTATCTTTACATCTAGGTGTGCGTCTGTTTATACTTTACTAAAAAAACATTGTTTTTACTGTATGAGAGGTCTTCATTTTTTAGAGTGACCTTTTAAAGCACTGATTTTTTTCTGGGATATTCAAAGAAATTAAGTAAGAGATTATAAGCATGGAAAAATAATATATAGGTGGATTTTCTTGGTTTTGTGGCTTCTTCATGAAGTTATCATTTGGTTGTATGGTTCTCTCTAGTCTGTGATGTTGATATATGATAGATCTGATGCATTACAGGAAATGACATTTTCAGGCATTCTAACTTTTGGCCTTTGCATTGCTTCCCCTTGTGTAATGACTGGAGTATATTTAAGTGATTTATTTTTAGCCGGCACATGTCTTTCTATTTATGGGCGACTTTATTGATTCCATGTTAGAAAATTATATTTATTTTCAGAGATAAGTGTTGAGATGATTAGCATGTATGACAAACTGTGTCTGCTGTAAAAATACACCTTTAGCGAACATACCTTTGTTGTTTCCTGTATTGAACGAAATAGAGAAAGACAAAGAAACATTTAATACATTTTGTTTTTGAAATCTTTGGTTAGATTCTAAATTTTGTTGACATTGTCTTGGTGGTAATTGTTTTGTTTCCATATATGACACGAGAACTTGTTAGTCCCGGGGAGTGGACTGAGAATGGTTCAAATTAAGTTAAAAAACTTCATTGTTTTTTGGTTTTATTTAAGGAGAAATTGTTACATGATGACAATAAATCATTGTCTTATAAACTGATATTTAATTGTTGATAAAATCACGCAAAATCGTCCTAAAGAAATCAAAGCATAGCATCACTCTGGCGTTTCAACAGAGTGATATTGTTACCTCTTGTTGCTGTTGTATTTTTCTTCTTATGGCCGCCACTCTTGATATTTGGTTATTCTGTTGATTGCTTGTGTTGATTGATCACCATTGTGGAATATAGCTTCCTCATTCATCACTATCTCCGCAGCTTCTCCACGATTGTTCCAGTCCTGATGTTTGACCATCCTTTTATGGTGATCTGTAATTGCAAAGATGCGGAATAAAAACTACGAACGTCTTTAGAATACATAACGAATGGGTTTTTGGGTATTGAATAATATATTTGTGTTGCTATGGAGAAGAATATAATTCTTGATGTTGGTATTTTTTTTATACTTTTGGGTGTTTTAGTGATTTAGGTTCCATCCACTTTTTCTGTCTTCTCTTTAATACTCTTCATTCAGAATTCATTTTATTATTCAAAACTTTATTTTGCTATCTTATATTTTATAACACAGCTGTTTTTATTACACATCTGACAACACATTTTATACAAACTTCTCTTTCATTCTTTGCAAGGATATGGGCATTTTAAAAAAAGCCGATGTGCCCATATGGATTGAAATCATCTATAATTTATGTCTCTTTTTTCTGTTACTCAAACTAACCAAAGGTGTTACAATAGTATCTTATAAAGGTAACTATGACAGTTCTGTTTTGAGTAGAAATGGGTTAAACCTTTATGTACTTGAGAAACTAACCAACAAATCATTTATAATTTAATATGAACATTTGTGATGAAATATTTCTGTAAATTTGCTTTTTATAAAATGCAGATATTCCATATTTTATATAGGAACTGATAAAGAAATTCCTTTATAAAGGCTTTCTGTGAGCAGATCTTATATAACCATGGCAACTTGGAAGTTAAAGATAGCTTTGATATTAAATATTTTGTCAAGGGAAAGCTGCTTAAAAGAACATCATAATGTTGTTGTTTCTATGGGAGGGTTTTTTAGAGATGATGGGTGTGTAATGAGATGAGTTTGTTTTTTTTTTTTGGTGGGGGGGGGGGGGGTTGCCACCTTATAGGTATAATAGTTCTGGATTTGAAAAAGAAAAGAATATCAACTCCCTAAAAATATCCAATATTTTCCTATCCATTTGATAGGGATGGCTTTTATTCAAAATGCTTAGATTGAAATAAGAAAATATATTATTTTCTATTTTAATTTTGAGAGAATCAGGAGCATGGAAAAAAAAGACTTTTTTTTCAAGTTGTTGGTGTGTTTCAAAAGGACATAAAAATTCCCTTTCTACTCTGTGTATCAGAAATGGCAAGATGCGTAACTCTGTAATATTTTCCCATATTGTACAGTAAGCAAATCTGTGGAGCTTTCAGGTGTTCCTAGTTACAATGCTTAGTTTTTCTCACGTCTTGACAACATTTTACTCTTTTTTCACTTTAATTACCTGGCTTATTTGTTGGTGTTGTCAGTTTTTACTAACTCATTTTTTTAGAGTTAATATTTTTCACTAGAACACATTTTTTGAAATGCCATGCTTGTTTCATAAATGTCTGAAATTGTAAGTATTGTTAGGGATTGTATTGTAAATACATTTCTTGTTTATGTCATATATCTTGACAGCAGAAGCCTAATTATATTTTCAGCCTACTTATAATGAGAAAGGGTGTTTTGGGATGGGAGTGAGTTTAAAGGAACTCCACTGAGATCCAAAAACCTTAAAACATAAAATTTTAATATCTTACAATGATCGGCTTTGGAACTTAAAACAGAAATATTTAAAACAGATGATTAAGACATATACCCAGAAATATATTGAAAATCATATAATGTTATTCTTAGCCGCATTTGATGTGCATAGCATTGCAAAGTTTTTCAGTTTTGAGTCATTTTGCACAATTAGAATTTTCATTCTGGAAAAACGAGTCGGCTAGTGATCTGAAATTTTTGCATACAAGTTATCAGTCTATATAAAAAAAAATTAAGATATGTCAGGATTAGATATATGTTTTAAGCTGATGGAGGCTTAGGTGAACAGCCTATATAAATAATATAAACATTTTAAAAAACAAACAAACAAAACATGATTTTTACACACTAGACAAACAAATTCATGTAATTGACATAAGTTCACTTATAGAAATATTTCAGAAATGTTGCAGAATCATGAAATATTTGCTAGCTTTTGGTTATCAATAATTGTATTAAGGAATATCTGCAATAAACTGTAAAGAAATATACAAAATAAGACAAATTCAGTCTGTCAGCATCTTGTATAGAACAATTTTATAACTTGAGACAGCGTGACTTAGCAAAATTCATTGAAACTGCATGGCATTTCAAATGTGCAAAATGTGAACATTACCGAGAAAAAAAAACACTAAAATTGAAACGATTCAATTTCATTTGTCGATAATGGCAAATATTTTATGTCGTAAATTCTGTCCGGTACATTGTTAAAAGTTATATTTTGAATAAAAATCTTGCTAGAACCTGTGCATGGAGCTGATTTATTTGTTTACGAGTAAAGCGTTTGTTGTAATATGAACATATTAATATAATTGCTTGCTAGGGAATTTGAACTGTTTTTAAAATCAAATTATACTCTGTAACGAGTAACAGAAGTTTCTGCAAATCGTATTTCACGGTTTGTAGAATATTGACTTTTAGCAAAATTTCATGTAATGAAATTATTCCGTATGGGTTTTATACCACACGCAGCTCTGGGAATTTCGTTCCTTAATTGTAATTGCTTTGACACGTTGTACGGAATCCTAAACAGTCGTGTATTTAGATTCGATTATAATGCTAACAGTTTTCCTTCCTTTTACAGTGAAATCAGCATATCTGTTTTTCACTGACGAAATTAAAATTAGTTAATTTATTTATAGATACAAACTACTTTTTCATTGGGAAAATACTCGAATGCAAATGAGCCGCTTCACAACAAAACCAACATAATAGGTTTGCAACCAGCATGGATCCAGACCAGCCTGCCATCCGCGCAGTCTGATCAGGATCCATGCTTTTCGCTTACAAACCCTATTACAAGTAGAGAAACTGATAGCGAACAGTATGGATCCTGATCAGACTGAGCGGATGCGCAGGCTGGTCTGGATCCATGCTGGTCGCAAACCCATTATGTTGGTTTTGTCATGACGTGGCTCAAATGTTTTATAGTAACACACGTCACATTTATGTAAACTTTATTTACATTTATTAATAAATCACACGTTATAATTTTTAACGTAGCTTAAATGTTTATAAATTTCCAATTGTTTTAAGTTGCTGTATCTATTGCTTCTTCGTTAATCAATTAGCGTAGAAAAAGAAAGATAAAGAAAAAAAAAGTCTAAAGTTTTATTAACAATGTTTTTTATCCTTGTGTTCTTTTGGAATGCATTTTTGATCATATGTTTTTTTTTCTTCTTTACTTCGTGGGCTGTGTTGTAATGTGTACCATGTTCGCCTTGACAAAAAAAAAATTGTTGAATGGCAAACACGTCTTTCTCACAGTATGCCTTTTGTAATGTAATCTTTTTTTCTAAAACTCACACGGTTTCAAATTTTATGATTAATGCTATGTTTTATACATATTACCGCTGAAATTCTTGTTGGTCCTGAAGATTGAAGGAAGAAATGTCTATGATTTAAAGGCACTGGAGCAACTTAAAGCTTTTGGAAATATCTTTTGTTTTTTTATTTTTTTCAAATTATTTTACTCCATTCACTGAGTTACCCCTACCTTCTCATTGCTATGGCAACTATCATTACATTTGATTGATGCAACTTCTAACATGTTCTATTTATTATCTATCTGTTTAAAAACATCTGATGTGACCCCATTTCTAATAATATAACAAGTGCATGTTACTTTAAAATGCATATTTACTCTTATCTGTTACACAAACCTTCATTAACTATGGACATTTCCAAAGTAACCACTCTTATTGAGGTATATATAATTTTTGGACTGGCCCATTGCAACAGAAAAGGGAGGGTAAGGTAATTCAAGAATGGAGTTACAATGTTGGAAAAAAATTATGTATATCAAAGAATATTATTTCAAAATGTAGAGAAATTTAACATAGACACTCGCTTGGCTTGCAGGCACCAAGGGAACGGGACCCACACAACCATGTGAGTTATTCCCCTTTATTTCAACCTTTTTTATACCTTAATTATTGTTTTGTATTATATATTTATAGTTAATGTTTTATAATAATATATATTTAAGATAACAACAATTTTGACAGTAAGTTACCAACTTAAATTGTAATGATTTCCTCTTTTAAGCTCAAAAAAGTTGTTGACCTTCATTTTCTTCTCTTGAAAATGATCTTCAAATTTTACCCGTACTTTCCAAACATCATTAAACAAAAACAATGTTTTAACTTGTTCCACATGCCCATTATTTTGTTGCCATACATTTGTCTGGTATGGCGTATGAAAGTTTTTTAAGGTCTTCCTCATTTGGATCGTTAACCTTTATTCACAGAAGTTAGGACCTCTCTGGCACATAGGACTGTAACTCTGGCACAGAAGTGAAAGCCCATGATTTGAACCCTGATCTTTCCACTCATTACTTATGGTTTAATTTTTTTCTTTGAGAAAGCTATCCTTCGAGCTGATAGATTGTTGGTTCTACCCAGACAGCCTCATTTGTATAATCATATTTGCGATTTCATAAAAAGATTTCTTGACAGGTTTTATGACCTGAAATAAACGAGCATTTGCATATATAACTCCAGCAACTAGGTGAGGGTTATATTGCAAACAATCATTTATATAAGGCAATAATAATAACCTGCAAAATTTTTATAACCAATTAATGATACAGTAAAAAAATTATTTCAGAAATAAAGAAATTACTTTATAAATTGACCAAGCCATGCATTAAGTTTATAAAACATCAGTATTATCCAATGAAAAGTGATGTTACAAAGTCTTATGATATAAATTAAAAAGATTTTGGAGTCACATGATATATTTGACTCAGTATGGATGGCTGTACTTATGAAAGTAATTCATGAATTTGCAGTAGTGGTTTTTTAAATGATATACATTTATAATGATTGTCCAATCAAATTTGATTTTACAAATGTTAAGTACAGTAATGTTACATTGTGTTAAAAGTTTGAAATTCTACTTAACTGACACTTGTACCCCGCATATTAATCAACAGCAACAACAAATAAAAAGAATTTCCATTGTTAGAAGAGGAAATCATTTACATAGAAAATTTGCATTTTGAAAGGAAAAGATTATTAGGGAATGTTTTAAGAACAACATGTCAGCTTTAGGGAATATTAGATTTTGAATGGAGTAGGGTATACGTATATATTACATTTGAATTCTGGGATGTCACAGCATTATTCATCTGTAACACTGCTGCATGTGATATTAAACAAAAAAAAGCATGAATCTGTATGGGTATGTTGTTTATGCATATGTATATATATATGATGCATGTTGCTTAATAGACTCGTTACCGTAAAATCTCACATTTTATATGTGTATACATATTCTAAAATTGTTAAAATATTTATATAATTAATATATATTTGTGTATATAAACATGTTTGAATAGCTTTAGTTACAGACAGTATAAACATGTAAGTAACATGCGTCATGAAGTCATTGGTTATTTTTATCTTTAATTGAGTCTGCTCGGAAAATAAAAATGTGTGTGAAGATAATGATGCTTTGATGTTAAAAAGGAAATACCCAAATTTTATTTACCTTTCAAAATAAATAACAATTTTTAAGATATCCCCATTGTCATTATTCAGTGTATTGTTATTTAGTCACTCAATACCACCATTGCTTTTTGACACAAAAGCTGTACATATAATTGAACAAAATTTAAAGCAGTTCACATAATAATTATGTTTGTAATTAGGTCAAGGTTATATTTCAAGGTCAGTAACAGAAATGTTTTGTTTCCACTATATATAACAAATTGGTCTAGACTTGATGATGAATAGTGTAATAATCTTCTGGCCAAATTTCATGTCCCTCTTTTTCAAAGGTCAAAATGCACAACTTTGATTTGTCTAATGTCACTTTAACTCTGCCAATGGTCAAATTATATCATCATTAACCATAGTGCATAGTGCCACATATCATGACTGGATTGTAAAAACAAATGATTGAAATAAATGAACCCTTATCCAGCTAATTAACTTGAATGGACTTGCCCATCCCTCAATTTTGGACAATTCGTCAGATTTAGGTGAAATTTCACAATATATACTGACTGGATAGCCGACAATGCAGACCATCTTGGTTGCATGGGTAAAATCAAAAGCCACCAGCAATCTATGAATTAGTAAACTTGGCCTCTATATATATTGCTAAGGTCTGATCTTTTTCAAGGTCATTGTATAGCTGCCAATGTCAAGGTGATGCAACATAGAATGAATTTGGTTACTATTGGTTACTATAAAGTCTTCATGAAACAGAGATTCCTCAGTAAAAATGACTATGCTTTGGATGTAACTTGTCTGTTGTTTTTTTTTGCAACAGACAGTTTATGTTATTGTAAAATTCTACCTTCTATTGTGTAATTGAATTATATTAACTAACATGATAATGATATACATATATATTGCTGCATTAACAAGGAAGTGCTTTGGTTGCCTATTATATAGCTTGGATGAACCAGAAATATGCAAAAACAAAAGCATAAAAATACAAGTCTGTAAAGTACAGCAATGTATCGTTTTAAGAATATTTAAGACTTCTTTAATTTTGAAAATTTGACAAATGATTTTTACTTTGAAAGAAGTGTTTTTAAAGAATAAGTTTTTTAAATATTTTATTGACAACGAAATAAATAGTTAAATATAGAGATTCCAAGAAAGATGGGAATATTTTACTATGCCTATATATTTTATGAATATATGGAAAAGCCAATTATCAAAAGTATTGTTGCTGTATATGGGTTGTCAACGAAGATTCGGATCTATAGGAAAAAGAGATAGTGGTTATACTGTTGCCCAGAACAATTTTTTAAACAAATAGTACTTCAAAAAATGTTTATCCGGTTTTCTTTTTCAGTTGTTTTTTTTTTCCATTTTTAGCCATTTTTTTATTCTTTGCCGTTGATATATATTATATATAATCATTAATATCAATGTGTTTTTATTTGTTAGTGCTTAGCGATCCAGGCAGAGTGGGTATGTGTCTTGGTATCTTGTCTAATGCATGTAACTTTGCTGTGAATACCTGTAGACTGTAGTGGTTTTTTACCCCACCCACCTAGCAGATTGTGCACCATCCACCAAATTTTGTTGTCTCCCTTTGTACTTTAAACCCCATTTGTTTTTTTAACACTAAATTGAAGATAAGTTATTAAAATAGAAATTCTGTAGCTCTATATTAAACTTTGACAGCACTGTTTTAATACATGATTAAATCTTTTCATTACAATCCACTATATACATTGTATTTTGTACATCATGTAATTTGCATTCAATCATTATTTTATCTCTTGCATTACAAATGGTATATGATCTATGTAAGGGGGACAACTGTGTACTTTTTGCTTGTGATGACAAGTTACCACTGCTTTTTTATCTCTGTTTTCTTTCTTTTTCTTTTTAATATGCCTTCTAGTAAATGTAGTTCTGAATTGCTGCTAGATGTTATCTCAGTATTGTAGTCAGCTTTTTTTCCATTGAGTCAATAAAAATTTGTTAATCAATTTTTCTTGTCACATATTTTACTTAAGAAAAGTAAGATTATACACACATGTTTAAATGGAATTTTTAAAGTGTTCATTTGAAACAAACATTTATTATTTTCTTATTATTAGTCTGAGTAATATAACATTGTTTCTAAAAAAAATCTTGTAATGAAAAGAAAAAAAAAATAGACATTTTAGTTGTTAAAATTTTATTTATTAGTAAACATTATAATTTAGAATTCATTTTAGTAAAGTATGATATTTTAAGAAATAAGTTATTAATGTGTTTTTGATATTGTCTTGTTAGTGCTTTGTAGAGACGCTTACATCATATTCAAGCTTTCTTGTTTATTTCTTCTCACCTTTTGATATTTATAATATATATTGTGCATTTTGTATACTCTGTTAAAATAGAGAAAAAACAACAACTTTTCCATTCAAGTAATAATTTTCATATACTTGGTTTTAATAAAAATTCTAAGTGGAAGGATTCAGTTTTTGGATTCATATGTATCAAATTTAATAGTCTGAACATTTTTGAAATAGAATCATTTTGTACCTTCTTTAATGTTTTAAACAGTAATATATCACAGATAGGTATTACAAATAATGGCTTTATTTTTGTCCATGTACACTGCAGATTATTTAAGCATAATAAGCCAAATTTGTGGCATAAAATGTAATACATTTGAGATATAATTTGTCTATGTTTTGAGATTTGCTTACAAAGTGAGGTTTGTGCTTGATATTCGACATTAATTGAATTTTGTAATGAAATTTCTTTAAGAATGAATTAAGAAATGGTATTGTTTTAACATTGTTGAATGGTTTTATTTTGTTAAACAATTTGAGCCGCGTCATGACAAAACCAACATAATGGGTTTGCGACCAGCATGGATCCAGACCAGCCTGCGCATCCGTGCAGTCTGATCAGGACCCATGCTTTTCGCTATCAGTTTCTCTATTTGTAATAGTTTGAAGGAAACAGCATGGATCCTGATCAGACTGCGCGGATGCGCTGGCTGGTCTGGATCCATGCTGGTCGCCAACGCATTATGTTGGTTTTGTCATGGCGCGGCTCAATTATTGTATGGAAGCCTAATATCACTGTTATACATTAACAAAATTAACAACACAAAATGTTTGATAAATGACAGTATGTGGATTTAATGCACAAATTTTTGCATGACATTTTTCCATTTGAATCACCAAGAATTTTAACGAATTTCAGAATTTATATAATGATTATTTTCATTGTCCAATCACTGTATACATGTAGCCAGAGCAAGATAACCCAAAATAGACACTTTTATCTTTATCGTTTATAATATTCTGTGAAAAAACTTCCTATTTCTTTTGAGAGAGAGGAAATAAGACCGTTTATAAATAGTTCTCTCATTTATATTTCATTATTACAGTTCACATTGATATAAATAATTCATACATGAAAAAAAAAAAGTGTAGAAATATGACACTTTTTGTAGATAATGAAAAATGACCGATATTCTTCTCTTAGACACTTGTATGTCTGTAGTAAGTTATATATACATGTACTTTACATGGTCTTAATAAGTCTTTTAGACAAGAGACAGAAATATTTGTGACATTTTTTGTTTTATGACACATTTTTAGTCATTCTGTCGTGAATTTTGGTCAGGAAAGAAAAAGAATTTAAAATTTGCACAAAACCACTTGTTTTTGGGAGAAAGAAAGTATTCAAATGAAATAATTTTTTCTTCTGCCAATTTTTTTATGTACTTTGGGGGGAAAATAATTGTAATATAAATTAGTTTGAAAAATAAATAAAGCCAAGCAATATCGAAAAAAATAATTTTATTTTTTACGAAATACAGTTCCATAGAGATGTTTTATCGTAATCAACCTAATTAAATTATTATTAATAGAAAATATCATTATGTTTAAATGGCTATGTTTTTTGTTTGATAATGTAATATATTTTTTTTCAAATATTTTTTAATTTGATCAGTGAATATAAAGTTTGGGTAATCATCTTTTAAAGAAGAGTTCAGGCCAGATGGGATTCAAAGTAGTTCATGATATTTTAGGTTACATTACACTGGCAGGCTACAATGATGAAGTTATTTATAGGTCAAAACATTGTTAATGATTTATAGCATTGTATGTAAATATAAGGAGACTTTCATCTCTTTCTTTTCAATATCATAGTGTTACTCAAAATCTTAAATATATCTAACCATGTTTCTTCACTATTATTTGATATATAAACTGCATTTTCTTATTCTATATATCCTTCTATATGTTCTGTATATGATTGAAAACTAACAGAAATTCATAAAAATTGTATTAAGAACTATATGAAACATGTAATAATCAAGATGGATTTTTTAAAAAAAAATCCTGTTACTAGGATAAAATCTTCAGATGCTTGATTTTTCATGTTGTGAATTTAATCTTGCTTGGCAGACACAGAACATGTGAACCTTGAGATGACCGGAAATTCTCACCATGCCAATGCTAGCAACAAAGTAACAAACAAGATTCCCGAGGAGGTTGAGGAAGCTACAACGGAGGTCGCCAAGACAGTACATTCTTCCGCAAGAAAAGAGAAATCTGTCCTCCAGTCAAAGCTTACTAAACTTGCCATACAGATTGGTTATGGAGGTAAAAATTATTTAATTTTTTTGTTGTTACTTACTTAAATATTTGCTGAATTTATTGGACTTGCCTTGCTTGAAATTAGGAACCGGCCAATGTAATTTTACAGGATTAAAAATCTTGATTTGATCATTTGAGTCTGGAGTCTGGTTAGACTGCAAGGGCATAAAGCTTGGCTTGAAACCAGTAGCTTACGCCGAGCCATTGTTGCCATAGCTGTTCAGATGCATTCTTTGTTAAAATTTTAACACAATGTTTGGAATTATTTTATGAAATTCATGTAGAAATAGTTATACAGGAATATAAAAACATATATACATATTTAGTGATTGCAGTATGAACTATGTTTCACAGAAAACCTTATTCCAATCTAGAGGATAATCAGTTTATCTTTGATGCTGTTCTATTTTCCTAATTCAGGGAAAATTTTCATACTTAATTGATTTCCAGCAAACTGTCACATATTCAATTTTGACGCAATTAGGTCAGAATCTTGTTTTGTATAGTTTTTGGAAGGCGATATCGTCGTTGTATGTTGTCTTTTCCTCATTTCTGTCTGCATAGGTCGAACAGCTACAATATCCATGCTATGGGTAATGCCATTTAAGTAAACATAACAAAAATGTACATACATGTAAATTAATCAATTTCTCAAACTCTGTCTCATAGAAATGCTTGAAGAAGACAAATTATATGCATTTTTTTGGGGAAAATACTGCAATATTCATTACAGTTGCTTCAAATACATACAAATCCTTTGTCTATTTGAAATGGTAAACAGCCACAACAGAAAATTCCCTTGATAAGTACTGTAGTGTAGCAAGTAAGGAGGTAGAACTTGATTGCAAGATCCTACTTTTTCCTCTAACAGAAAAAAATGGCTGTACAAGAGTAAACTTAAAATTCAGGAGCAAACTAAGAAGTTTCAATGCATATGCTTTCTGTGTTATAAATCTCCTTTGATAAGTACTTTGATACTAGTGATACTAGTTATGTTTCTGTTTTATTCCCTGTCTGCTTAAGTTTTGCTGTTATGCCTGCTTTCGGAAAGATTTAATGGCCTTCACATGAAAGCCTTTGATTCAACAGATCAAAGATGCGCAGGCTGGTCTGGATCCATGCTGGTCGCAAACCCACGATGTTGGTTTTGTCATGGCACGGCTCATATGGCAAATAGATTGCCTGTGTATATAACTCGAAGAAGAATACTGTAAATGAATTGCCTTTGCCTGTAACTGAATCTTTATAATTATTTAAAATGAATTTAAACAACTAGGTAAAAAAAAAATTGAAGAAAATGGATAAAACAAAAAGTTATTTATTCAGGAACTGTAAATCAATTTTTTATTCTAAATATTGTACATGTACTTATTCTGTATTCTAGGTACTGGTATTGCTGTGCTTACTGTCCTTATCCTTATCATCAAGTTCAGTGTGAGGAAGTTTGCAGTTGAGGAACGGCAATGGGATTGGGGTTATGTGGAGTACTTCGTAAATCATTTCATCATTGGTGTTACTGTGTTGGTGGTGGCTGTACCTGAAGGTCTGCCATTGGCTGTCACACTCTCACTAGCTTATTCAGTCAGGGTAAGTATCAAAATGTAACCATGCAAAGTTTATTGATGACAGATAAGAAAAATTCTGTATATTTATAAAAAAAAAATCCTGAGAAAGGGTGATTTGAAGCATTAATCACAATAAAATTACATGATGACTTAGTTTGATTGAGTCTGTACATGAGAGATAATGAAAAAGTGCAGCATCCCTCATGTTCCCTATCACTGGCTTGAGTGGAACTCAATTGTTTGACACTTAAAAAAGTGCTGGAATCAATGATCCTGAAGAAAAATAAAAATATAATAACACTGAAGTGAAGTACAGGGCAACTTTTTACAGCTGCCACATGGCACTAAGTCCACACAATACTAAAAATTGTATAACTATTATAGTTTATATAACATATATTCAAGGAAGGTAATGTTACAGTTGCATGTTTTGGTAAAGATTTGGGTTTGGCTTAATTTAAATTAATAGCAAATAAGTGAAATAATTTGATGTTTCGGACAAAGCAGACAAACAAGGCACTTGATATTCACTGTTAACTTTATAGAATCTATGTAGTTGATATTGTCAGGGAATGATATCTGCAACTTGTGAAAAATCATTGACAAAAATGCGATGGTATAAAATTTTAGCAATTTCTCATATTAGTCTGGTTATATTCCCAAAGTTGTCGTACAGAATTTAATTTTGATAGGAAAAAAATCGCATTCAGTGAGATTGAAAACTTAGATATGAAAGGCTCGTCTGACCTTTCTTGGTTATGCTTTGACAGTATGGATGTGTTTCAGAAATAGAAAATTGCAGTAATGGGCTTTTATCTAAGTCTTTGTGTGACATGCAGATTTAAGCATGTCAAGTGCTGGAAATTTTCAGTTAACATTGAATAATTTCAAGAGCTTCACCGGTGATGAATACAAAATTTGACACAGATATCTTTTTAATGTCAATTTTGCTTTACTTTAAAGAAAGGGAGACAGTTTATTTATCCAATGCTGCTATGATAAGACAGTTTAGATGAATATAATTATGCATGGTTGAAAAAAAAAATTGGATTCATTTAGGACAAAAAAGTAAACCACATAAGCCTGCTAAATGAACTATGCTGAAATTTATTATTATTTTTTTTTTGAAATTATCATTTATTGTATGAACATTGTCAGTATCAGATTTGAAGAATGTCTTGGTTGGGTGATTTAAGGTGCTTACTTCAAATCGTTTTCCCTTTTCTATTTTGGTTTGAACCCTGGCATGAACATTGGATTCTTTCATGTGGCAAACCTATCCAGCTACCTTATGGAAGGTCAGTGCTTCTGCTAAAGGAGTTGGCTTGTGCTGGAAATAATGCATAGTGATACACAGAAGTGTTCTTCCTACAGCAAAGCTGTAAATTCGCCATATGACCTTAACAGTGTCAGTGAAACTTAAATGCAGAAACAAAACAAAAAAATTCAATTTTCAAAAAATCTATTAAGAGTTTGCATTGAAAATTCTTTAATTTTCAGGAAGTGAATTTATTAGCGCAAAAAAAAGATTATTGTGATATTGGTGCATAATGTTGTTCTGTCTTGTAATTTAGATTATTTATAGAAGATTGTTATCAACATTTATATTCTAGCATGGGATGAGATGTGTCAGTTTGCCTATAATTAATTAGCGCACACTCCTGACACCTTTAAATGGGAAGTTAAAATCAATAGTGGCCAGCCTTTTTAATTGAACTTTGATATTTGATGGTGTTCCATCAAGGACAATTTCACATAGATTTACGATTGTGACCTGTAACTAAAACAGTGCATGGCATTTAAATTTTTTTGTTTCAGTTTAAAGAACTCTTTGATTTGAGATGTTTTTTTCATTTCATGATAGCATCTGTAAACAATCCCATGATATAAATTAGCTTTTCATACACATTTTTTTATCTCGTGAAATGTCATTTTGTTTTTGTTTTTCATTTGTGAAGTACACAGAAATGGTCTGAATTAATGGCCAATGGCTTTTCCTATTGTGAATTATGACTGGACAGGATTGGTTAGAAGCAAAATGTTTTTTTATTTTCTCGATTAGATTTATTTTTTCAAAACAAAAAAGTCGGGTGTGGAAGGAGGAGTTTAGGGTGCGCCAATGACTTACAAGGATATCACTATCGCACATTTTTCTCTTAAAGCTACTACATTTCTTCTAAAAATAATTTCCTAGTGAATTTCTTTTTTTAACATCTATTTTTTTATCAGACTGTTTGCAACAAGGCAATTTGATTATCAAATTAGAATTAGTTTTGCATATTTTCCAGAGAACATAATGGAAAATTGAATCCATTTTATGATTTTGAATGCAAATTGTTGCTAATAGCATTTTCTAGTTGGTTTTTTATCTCCATGAAATTTATCCATTTGTTTGAAAATCCATTTCATGAAATTTATATTTTGAAAATTGTTCTCAGTTCCCTTGAGAGATTCTGAAACCTAACTCTTTTTTGGAAACTTGATAACTTGTGGCAAAAAACAATACAGCCAAAGAAAAATTTTCCTTTGAAAGGTTCTTCATGATAGAAAGTTTTACCATGTGAAATGCAATCAAGTCATCTTTGAGATAGAAATCTGTATCTGCACTTTCCATCAAAATTTATTGTAATCACCCATATTGCTGGGGACACATTTGTCCATTTTTCCAACAAATTTGTGTAAAATTTCACAGCCTGCTTATTTAATGACCTGTCTGAAGTATCATTATTTCATCACCTCAGTGCAGAAACTGGTTAACCCCTATTGAAATTTAATAGGAATTAATCTGTTACTGCACTATGGTAACAATTAATGAGTTTTTTATGTTTGCAAGTTGGATATTATAGTTACTGCTACACGAAGTTACCATAGTCATATATATAAATGTATGATGGTTGAAAGACTTGCTCACATATTATGTCTGTCACATGGTGACAAAAATGTGCACCTTAAACAGGACTAGAACTTAGGCCACTCAAAATACCATTTTCAGCATCTCAATTGACAATTTTGTTGATGTATAAACATTTTCTCCTTCGTGAAAAGTTTTATGGATGTCTTTGTGCCATATGTCTTCAATTAGCTTTTCAAGTGATGTATATTTGTCTGCGTTTCTTAAATTTTCTTTTATATATGTCCGTGACTTAGACCTTTGATATTTTGCATTAGGTTTACCAAGTCTGTTATTTTCATTCTTAATGCCAGGTTATTTGTAGGAATTATAGTCTGGGTTATATGATTTTGTGATGTCTGTTTACAGAAAATGATGCACGATAATAACTTAGTACGTCATTTAGATGCCTGTGAGACTATGGGTAATGCAACTGCAATTTGTTCTGACAAAACGGGTACATTGACCACAAATAGAATGACGGTGGTACAAAGCTATATTGGTGGTAAGTTCAAGTTTTCTAACAATATTTATCTTTTAATATTATGCAACTTAAAGTGTGAAGAGCTATTGACATCGCCGATATAAAGATATAATACATAGATGTAGAGATATGTAATATAGAGTTCTAATTTTGTCCTTGGAATAGAAACTGTTGCTCACCAAATAATTTAATTTACAATGAGCTGTTATGTGACACTTGCATAGTAACCTTGTTTTACCTGCTATCTGGCTTGTAATGTGATGCATGTTAAATGATCAATTTTTTCACCCAGTTGAGTATGTGACTTGTATACAATGTAGTTTGTTCCATGCATTCAGGGGGAGGATGGGGTGTTGATAGGATCCTAAATATGTTGATAAATAAAATAAGCAATTTGTATTTATTGGCATTGGCTCTCACTATATTTGGACAAGATTATAGATTCTATGACCATTACAGTGTCAGTGTTTCTTAAAACGCAATAACAACAACAACAACAAGTATAAGATTGTTTGCTGATTGTGATACATCTTGTTATTATTTGTTTCAGGAGTGCATTATAAATCAATTCCTAACTTCCAGACATTGTCCAACAAGATACAAGAAGTAATGGTGAAAGCCATCTCCATTAACAGTGGCTACACATCACAAGTTATGGTATGGTCATACTATTGTAGTTTTATGGCACCTCCATTACGACCAGCATGGATCCAGACCAGCCTGCACATCCGCGCAGTCTGATCAGGATCCATGCTCTTCGCTTACCAACCCTATTACAAGTACAGAAACTGACAGCGAACAGCATGGGTCCTGATCAGACTGCATGGATGCGCAGGCTGGTCTGGATCCATGTTGGTCGCAAACGCACTATGTTGGTTTTGTCATGACGCGGCTCATTTGCAGGGTATGTGTTGCAGTGAAACAATTTGTTATAAAGGGAGCAAAAACTAAACAAAGTTGCATTTTGACTTCCTAAGAAATATGAATTTTTAAACCATGTACTGTACTTGATCGTCAAAAAGCAAGAGAAGTTAAAATGTCCTTCAGCTGTATGGCCAAAGATTCCGTTTTAGGAAAGTTAATAGGGAACCATGAAAAAAAAAATTGAGAGGAAAAAAAAAATTGAGAGGAAAAAAAAAAGAAGAAAAAATTATTAGGCCTTATTGGTTTTAAGGTTGAATATATAAGGGGAGGTAACAATGAATTTGTTTTTAGACAACTTTTCAGCTTTGATATACAAGGGAGGTACACCTTTCTTATTTTATTGACCTTACAGAAAGGTGAACAAGAAGGAGAACTTCCTAAACAACTTGGTAACAAGACGGAGTGTGCATTGCTCGGCTTTGTCATGGATCTAGGTCAGAGTTATGAGGCCGTGAGGGAGGATCACCCTCAAGATACACTGGTTAAGATTTATACTTTCAACTCCATGAGGAAATCCATGAGTACTGTAATACACCTGCCTGGAGGGAATTTCCGTCTGCTCACCAAAGGAGCTTCAGAAATGGTCCTTAATAAGTAAGTAATTTAACATAAAGATATACGACATCAAGGTCTTACATTTAAGTTGAAATATTACTTAATGTTACAACTAAATGTTCTTTTCAAAGCATTATATTGTAGGTTACTAAATTTGAGCATTTTAATATCAAAACCCACACTTTAATAATGAATATTTCTAAATTAAGAACAAGACAATTTCGATATAACAATTTCTTTATACTAATGCAGAATTGTAGCATTGTTAGGTTTACGTCAGACAAGTCACGTTTTGTGTATTTTTCGTCTTTTTAGATGTGAATATATCCTCGATTGTAAAGGTGAACCACAGCCATTCAGTGTTGAAAATCAGGAAACAGTTATTAAAAGTGTAATAGAGCCAATGGCAGGGGATGGTCTTAGAACTATTTGTATTGCGTACAAAGATTATAGAAAAGGTATGCTAGAATTCATTATTATTGTACAACTTGTAACATTCTTTAATTGATATGAATTTCTTTAAAGGAAGTCGTCTGAGGTTTTTTGACATGACGTGACAGGAAATTATTTTTCAAGATTTATGTTCCATTTGATGTAAATGAAGACTGATAAACTTGTGTAAAAAAAATTTCGATCATTTTTTCACTCCCTTTTCAGGAATAATTGTAATTGTGAAAAATTACCTTAAATTTATAACATTCTAAGAATAACTCAAAAATATGAATTTCAATATATTTCTAAGTATATTTCTAAATTATGTTTTGCAAATTTTTATGTTTTAAGTGACCCCTCCGAGCAATGTAAGATATTCAAATTTTATGTTTTTAGACTTTTGGACATCAGTGGAGTTCCTTTAAAGTGATTTAATTTTAAAGAAAAAAAGTTAATAATTAAACTGTTTTTCTGATGATTGAAAGTGCAGTTAAGATGTCTGTATGTGCAATGTAAAGTTCTTGCGTTACATACATCTATCTAAATATGTATGAATATTACATATTAAACATATGCATGATAAGCAATACCTATCTATTATTGGATTTTCTGAAAATAAACAAGGCATTTAAAAACTGTGACTATTATTAACTGGTAAGCTAATGATGGCTGCTTGATGCTTACGATAATTATAATGATGATAACTGTTGTGATTATGGTAACTGCTATAATAATGATAATGGCTTATGATGATAATTTTGTAATGATAACTGTAATGATGATAATGATTATGATATGACAACTGCTCATATCTTATTATCATTCTGTTATGATAATGGTTTCTGTTATAAGAATGGTTCCTGTTATAAGAATGGTTCCTGTTAAAAGAATGGTTCCTGTTATAAGAATGGTTCCTGTTATAAGAATGGTTCCTGTTATGATGACAGTTATGAAAATGATAATTTTGTAAAGATAATTGTTATATACATGATAGCTAATGATGATGATATGATTATGATATTATAATTGCCAATTTTTAATTAATATGCTGTTATGAGAATGGTTCCTGTTATATTGAGGGTTAAGAAAATGATCATTATATCATAAATAGAGAAGCAAGGAATAAATGATGAGCTGATTGATGATGAACCTGACTGGGAAGATGAAGATGCTATTGTACGTGGCTTGACATGTATCTGTATTGTTGGCATAGAGGATCCTGTCAGACCAGAGGTAAAGTTCTCACTAGTCTCCTCATAATAGTCTTACCAAAATAAGTACTAAATGAGAAACTGATAGCGAACAGCATTGATCCTGATCAGACTGCGCGGATGGGCAGGCTGGTCTGGATCCATGCTGGTCGCAAACCCACTTTGTTGGTTTTGTCATGACGCGGCTCAAATAATGATTGTATTGATTCAGAAATAGGTTTTCTGATTCAGAAATAGGTTTTCTTAATGAAAAAGACATTTTCCTGAATTGATGTCAATTTGATACATGAAATTTTGAGAAATTTATGAATCAATATATTCAGATATATCACACACTATAAAGTTGTAAACAGAGAACCTGATACAGATTTTTATGGCCAATATAAAATTTTGTATGATGTTGTGTTGTTAGTATCAGAAGTAGATAAATGGAAAAAATTTATAGTACTTGTTAATGTGTAGATATACTTTAAAAATAGCACATTTTACCTTTCAGGTACCTAATGCCATCAAGAAATGTCAAAGGGCTGGAATCTGTGTACGTATGGTTACTGGCGACAATGTTAATACAGCCCGCTCTATTGCAGCTAAATGCGGTATCTTGCGTTTCAATGAAGACTTCCTGGTACTGGAGGGCAAAGAATTTAACAAACGTATCAGAGACCCAGCGACAGGCGAGGTAAATTATTTCACGTCTTTGAAATTCACAGACGCCATATGCTAAAAGAGTAATAGATTATTGATAAATGTGAAAAATTTTGGTCTAAAAGCACTTAAATAGTATGGAATGGCAAATTAATGAAATTAGAAGTAGCATGTATGTGTGATACAGTAGTCTGACTGAAGAAAATAAATATGATAATATGTATGATATTTGGTACTGGATATTAATAAAGTCATAGGTCTACTTTAGAATAACACTATGACTCTATAAATTAATCTACATTCTTTATCCTGATATTTGACTTCGAACTTTTATTTTGTGATAGGTTTCCCAAAAATTATTAGACCAGGTATGGCCAAATCTTCGTGTACTGGCTCGATCATCTCCACAAGATAAATATGTTCTTGTAAAAGGTATCATAGACAGTAAACTGACGTCAAGTCGTGAAGTTGTCGCCGTAACAGGTGATGGCACCAATGATGGTCCTGCATTAAAGAAGGCTGATGTTGGATTTGCTATGGTAAGTTTCTCAGTATATATAAATAAGCCTATAGATAAGCCTAATAGTTGAGACTGAGCAATAAATGTGTAAAACATTTTGTCTGTTTCGCATGGGCTATTGAGCAGTGTTTAATGATGTTGTGGTGCTTCTATTATGTTAGCTCTTAATTTAAATTATGTAGAGGCACACCTTTGATCTTAATCTACCAGAAAACTTGTCAACTTACCACACCTGTTCAGTGTTTGTGTTACTTCAACCACTGTAAAAAAATGAAATAAAAAAAAGAAGAAAGAAAAAACAGCATAAAGCAAAAATTGGGTTTTATCCACTCTTGCCTTTATCATAGAATGGTATCAAAATATTGTTGATACTTTTAAGTAGTAGAAAAAATTCTGTCAGTATTGCCATAACTGGTCTTATACATGTATAGTAACGCATTATTTTTTTCTTGAATAAGGTATGCTATTGTGAGAGTACTGTTATATACTATAAATTATTATGAACTTCTGCTGAAAAAAAAAATAAATAAAATCTGCTGAAAATACTAAAATCTTAAACTGAAGAAATATGTAAAATTTGGATTGATTTTTCCAGACATTGTTCTTCAACTCTGACCAGAGTCTATACTGCTGGCTTTCCAAGCTAGTATTCCCTAAAATTGATAATGAACAGTTCCAAAACCAGAAGTTGGACAAGTCCATTTAAGAAATTCAGCAATTTTAAGGGTGATATATTTTACTTTACAGGGTATATCTGGTACTGATGTAGCGAAGGAGGCTTCAGATATTATTTTAACAGATGATAACTTTACAAGCATCGTAAAAGCAGTGATGTGGGGAAGAAACGTATATGACAGCATTGCAAAATTCTTACAGTTCCAGTTGACAGTAAACGTTGTTGCCGTTCTCGTAGCTTTCCTTGGTGCTTGTATTATAGATGTAAGTGGTTTGTAAGTTGTAGCAAGAGTAAAATTGATCTGATTTAAATAACCCAAGTCTTACTAATTACTAAGAGCCTACAAAGTTCATCAAATATCTTGACATTTTTGTTGTTGAAAATTTTACCTACATTTAAGTTATTGTATATGTATGTAGGCTCATGTTTTTAGCTCACCTTGCACAAAGTGCAGGTGAGCTTTTAGGATGGCCAACCAAATGGCGTCCGTCGTCTGTCGTCCGTCCACATTTTAAATATTCTAAGAACATCTTCTATGATACCGCAAGGCCAATGTTAATGAAACTTGGCAGGAATACTCTTTGTATGAAGCTCTATCAAGATTGTTCAAAGAATTCCATTTCATGCAGAACTCTGGTTGCCATGGCAACCGAAAGAAAAATCTTTAAATATCTTCTTTTAAAGAACCGTAAGAGCTAGAGCTTAGATATTTGGCATGAAACATCTTCTAATGAGTGTCTACCAAGTTTGTTCAAATAAAAGCCCTAGGGTCAAAATTGGCCCCGCCCCAAGGGGGTCATTGATTTTTCCCTATATGCATATAGTAAAAAACTTAAAAAATCTTCTTTTAAAGAACCCAAAGAGCTAGAGCTAAGATATTTGGCATGAAACATCTTCAAGCGAGTGTCTACCAAGTTTGTTCAAATAAAAGCCCTGGGGTCAAAATTGGCCCCGGCCCGGGGGGTCATTGATTTTCCCTATATGCATATAGTAAAAACTTAAAAAAATCTTCTTTTAAAGAACTGTAAAAGCTAGAGCTTAGATATTTGGCATGAAACATCTTCTAGTGAATGTCTACCAAGTTTGTTCAAATAAAAGCCCTGGGGTCAAAATTGGTCCCGCCCCAGGGGGTCATTGATTTTCCCTATATGCATATAGTAAAAACTTAAAAAATCTTCTTTTAAAGAACCCAAAGAGCTAGAGCTAAGATATTTAGCATGAAACATCTTCTAATGAGTGTCTACCAAGTTTGTTCAAATAAAAGCCCTGAGGTCAAAAATTGGCCCTGCCCCAGTGGGTCATAGATTTTCCCTTATATGCATATAGTAAAAACTTAAAAAATCTTCTTTTAAAGAACCCAAAGAGCTAGAGCTAAGATATTTGACATGAAATATCTTCTAGTGAGTGTCCACCAAGTTTGTTCAAATAAAAGCCCTCGGGTCAAAATTGGCCCTGCCCCGGGGGTCATTGATTTTCCCTATATGCATACAGTAAAAACTTAAAAAATCTTCTTTTAAAGAACCGTAAGAGCTAGAGCTAAGATATTTGGCATGAAACATCTTCTAGTGAATGTCTACCAAGTTTGTTCAAATAAAAGCCCTTGGGTCAAAATTGGCCCCGTCCCAGGGGGTCATTGATTTTCCCTATATGCATATAGTAAAAACTTAAAAAATCTTCTTTTAAAGAACTCAAAGAGCTAGAGCTAAGATATTTAGCATGAAACATGTTCTAATGGGTGTCTACCAAGTATGTTCAAATAAAAGCCCTGGGGTCAAAACTGGCCCTGCCCCGGGGTCATTGATTTTCCTTATATGTGTATAGCAAAAAACTTAAACATCTTCTTTGAAAAAAACCCAAATAGCTTGAGTTTAGATATTATACATGAAACATCTTTAAGTAAATATCTACAAAGTTTGTTCAAATAAAAGCCCGGGGGTCAAAACTGGCCCTGCCCCAGGGGTGTCATTGTTTTTAACTATATTGTTATAGTAAAAACTTAAAAATCTTCTTTTAAAAAAACCCAATGAGCTAGAACTTAGATGTTTAGCATGAAACATCTTCTTATGGGTGTCTACCAAGCCTGTTCAAATAAAAGCCCTTGGGTAAAAATTGGCCGGGGGGGGGGGGGGCTATATACAGGTGAGCGACCTCAGGGCCATCATGGCCCTCTTGTTCTTTTTAATCGATTTATTAAGACTAATGATTCCATTTGTGCCTGATATAATACACAGAAGGTCACCTGAGGATTCATCCACCAGTAAAGCTGGAAAGATGCCATATGACCTATTCTGTGTAAAATGCCTGCTTCTTGGTGACACAATATAGTAGCATTAAGAAAATTTCTTTTTTTGACATTTTTTGTTTGATTTAAATGCTAAATAATATTTACAGACCAACTTCAATATGATTCACAATCTCCCCTCACTTGGGGAGAAAAGTGGTACATAATTAAATCATTAATTATAACATTGATTTCCACAATAATTTACATGTTTACAGGACAGTCCTCTTAAAGCTATACAGATGTTGTGGGTCAACCTCATTATGGACACTTTGGCATCCCTGGCTCTGGCGACAGAATTACCTAGTGAGGAACTTCTAGAACGTAAACCATATGGACGTACAAAACCACTCATATCCAGAACTATGATGAAAAACATCTTAGGCCATTCTGTTTATCAACTAATTGTTGTGTTTGTCTTATTGTTTGCTGGTACGTATAAAAATAGTTTGAAACCCAATTTTAATAAAAAAAACTTTATAGCAAATTTAAGTTTGATAACAAGTTGCTTGTTTTGTGTTGAACTTTTAAATCTTAAATTATAGACAGCCCATATGCGCTTAAAACCATTTTCTATAAAATCACACATTGCTAAAGTGCTTACTGTTACACAACATGGGAACCCCTATTTTCATCATGATTTGTCTTGTACCTATTAAGAGTGAAGATGTCTTACAAAAGACTTTTTTTCTCATTCCATTAAAATACAATAGACTTGTTTATAGAATAACAAATTTTAAATATAAACCACAAATGTATGTAAATTTCTGGTAAAATAAATAAAGTGTAACCATGAAAATTAATTAAGATTTATTGTATGCTTTTGTGGTTTACTCAATTCATTGCTGTTTGATTAACGCTAACCTGTGTATGATTTCACACCTGCGCTCACAATGACCTGATTACAACTGTTTATTGCACTTGGACTGACACATTGAACAAGCTTATAGGCGGTTACAGCAGTCATCAATATACAAAGAAAAAATTTATGATCCAACCGAAAATTACCGAGACTATTGGAGCCAAAAGGGCCTTAAAGGAGCTTGATCGAATAGCGTACATCAAAAGAGGAGCAATGTATAACCGGCTGCAGTTATTTATGCTTTTATTTTATAGACCATTATTAAAAGGCTATACAGCGGAACAAACTCTGAATTTTTATTAAGGTTGCCAACCCTGTTTGGGGAATTCAAGATGCCGACACAATAAACTCCCAGGCTCCACCTACCCAACATTTTACCATTATATTTAATACATTTGTTATGGATGACTTTATGTAATGAAATAAAGCTCGAAAATCCATGGGGCACGAAATATATTCGAAGGTTACAGCGGAATGCCCAATATTTATTGAATTTGGATAGGAACCATGATTGGACAGGTATGGTTTCTTTTAACAAGCTTCTTAAGGGGCCACTGTTAACTGATAAAAACGTAATAAGGATCAGCCCCAGCTAGTGGGGTGGGCGTAAAGTTTGCACAGTCATCAGTCATGCGTCAAGCTTAGTTTAACTGACAAAAGCATATTAGTGGCACTTGTCCTATGGTCAAAATTTTGTAGTTCTGGATGAAGAAGATGGTAAATTTTCAAGATACGTTTTCTTTAAATGCAGTCTACAAATTTTAAGATAAAATTTGTAGACTGCTACTGTTTAGATCAGTTTTGAAAACATAGTGTATAGTATAACTGTTTTTATTTAAAAAAAACAAAAAAAAACACCTTAATATCTAGTAATTACGGTTATCAATTGTATTAAGCTATATATAGATTGCCAGGTTCTACCTAGGTGCTTGAAAATACTGTCAGAGAAAGACCTCATCAAATGTTATAATATAGTACTGTAGAGTCATCTGTAAAGATAAGATGAGATTTTGCAAGGATGCATTGAATGACTTGCATTATTTAATGTAAACATGCTTGAAAATTTTAGAAAGAAATTTTGCACACAAAAAAAAAAAATAAAAGTGTAAGCAGTTCCTTCTACCTTATGAGTATATTTATTGAAAATTATCTTTTTAACATGCTTTTTTTTAAAAATGTTTTATTTACGATAATTTCAGATTATTATTGTACAGTTTGCTGGCATAGCATTTTACACTGAATCTTTAACCATAGACCAATGGCTGTGGTGTATATTTTTTGGGGTTGGAACGTTAGTCTGGGGCCAGGTAAGATTTAGTTGCATTTTTCTTCCGTGCTTTAAAAACCCCAACAAAACAACAACAAAAAACAACAGAAAACAAAATTTGAATTTGTCGTCTAAACAAATTTACTCAATTAAGTGACTTTAAAGATATTTTTTTAGGGCATATAAAATGTTACTTGAAATGGTTCAGGCTTACTATCATAGGAACTTGCGTGCCACAAGATTCTGATATTCATCAACATTTATAAAGCCCCTTGCAAGGGCCTTGCTGTTTCAAATGAAGGCAATAAAAATCTTCCTCTCAGACAAGCTTTATAAAACTATGGAAACTCTACGACTTTTTAAAAATATGACATGTATCTTTCAATGTTCATGATTTATGTAAGTAATTGATTTTATTTTCGTGCAAATAGCTAGTTACATCTGTACCCACGAAGAGTTTACCGAAACATTTACATTGGGGTAAGGGGGAACCAGAAATGTTATGAAATTATGCTGTGGCGGGCTCGCCTCTGGTGATGTGTAGGGGGCTCCGTGGCCAGATTTCTCCTGGGGTGAGAGCCAACCGCCTCCAACAAAGGTAAAGGGTTCTCTCCCCTTTTTGGACTAAATATCAAGGCTTCCCCCGGAAATAATCAATTTAAAAACCTCTGCGAGGTTTGGGAAAAAATAAATATTTTTTTCCTTCCCCTCCCAAAACCGTGGCTTTAACATTTAAAAAACAAAAAAAAAGAAAAATTTATTGACTCAGCCCGTTAACATTTTTAAAGTTATTCGCTTCTAGGGAAACCTTTCATTTAAAATTATTTTTTTATCCAAAAAGGGAAATTTTTTGAATTTTCTACAAAATCACAAAACATAATTAAAAAAATCTAAATTTGAAAAACTTATGCTTTTATACATATGAAAAAGTTTTTACATTATATAAAAAAAACAAAATAAATTTTTTTACTTTCAAAAAAATAAAACAAAGATAGGGGTCTATAGAATAATACGATTTAGGAAAAAGTTAAAGCATAATTGACAAAAGAGCCCCGCGATGATATAAATTTGATAAAATTTTTTTCTTTAAAAGTTTGTGAAAATATATAAAACATTGAATATTGTAGGAAGTAGACTGTTCTTTTCTAACATAATAACCTACTATGTATTTTATTATTATTATCATTATTATTGTTAAAAATAAATTTATTTTGCTAAGTAACATATATATATATATTTGTATGTAAAGCTAGGAGTTTCTTTATATCTATGCTGAAGTAAGTTAGTAAAGGAAATAAAAAATGCTAAGGAGATATGCTAATTGTAGGGAAAAAAGCAACAAAAAAATCCCCCAAAAACAACTATTATTTAATTGCACATGATGACTGTTGGGTATTATAACTATTTAAGATATGGTGTATGCCTCATTTTTTATAGAAGTTATTTTTTCCTCCTCATTTTCCTTGTCTTTTACTTAGGATGTAAATTAGGTGCTTTTTATCTCTATCTCTCAGCCAAAATTGAAAATATTGAGCTGTCAAAATATTGAAATCTGGCCATATGGCTTTGATATCTTTTGAACAATCTTTTGGGCAATTTAAACCAGTCTTTCTCTCTCAATTTTAATTGAATCCTTGCTACCATTTTTTTCAGTAAAAAGTTATATTCAGATCCTATTTTTTCGCAGGAGTTATGGCCCCTTTTGTATATGAGAAATTTCCAAACAACATAATATTACTTTAATTTACAATTCTTATATTATAATTGTTCTACCTCAATCTTACAGTGAAAATTACCTCAATCTTACAGTTACAGATGACTCAGATTTGTGAATTTTGATTCAGTGATGGCTGAGAGATTTCTTTTAAATAGTCAAAACTTCATAAATATTAAAATCCTAAAAAATATCATTGCTTCTTTCTTATCAGTATAGAGTCATATATTTTTAACCAATTTCTTATCTTACTTCTACGACTAAAAAATGAATTTATTTTACTTCTCTTTTTTTTTTTTTTTTTTTTTTCTTCCTCAAAGTTTTTCTTACAATAATGGCATATTTTTTTGATATATAGAAATAATTATCTTGACAGTTCAATGTTGTCCTGTACACACATATATCTATATTTAGACTAGCCTATTTTTTCCAATGTTTGATAATGACTTTGAAATGCCTTCAAAATTACATATAAACATAATTGCTTTGTTTTCATATTATTTGCTTTTTTTTCTTCTTGAGTTACTAGAATTTTGCTTAAGTTTCTGTAACTTCTCCCCCCTTTTTTACATTATATAGTTTTGTACAACTTTTTTTTACAATTGACGATAAAATCAACTTTGCGGCTTTTGTTCATTTTTTGTTACAAGTCATTTTAATTTGGCTAAATTGTATGTTTAAAAAGTTGGAGTATCAGTTTTAAGAGGAGTAAGGTTGTTGTTGTTGGTTATGTTATTTTACTGTTGAATTAACTCCCTTTAATTTATGATTGACCTTGTGTGCTTGTTTATTGCTTTCCTTACATTTAGTTGCTGTTTTATTACGTTGATTCTTTGTTTTCTAACTTACCTCTGTAGTTGTATATTTGATAGATAGTTTTTTGATAACTCTTACATAACCAGTAGGACTCTTGTTTGAGTTTTGAATAGAATTCCTTCCCTTTGTTTTCTTTTTTTTTATTATTTTATGTTACTGTGTGGCTTGTTAGCTTTAAGTTGCTTTAGACCAGCCCTTTGCTCAGATTGTGTCTGCGGTTTTGTGTGAATGAGGCATTTTTTATTAAAATTTTTGACTTGTAGATAAAAAAACTAATTAACTGTTTTGTAACATTTGTTTACACCAGGCAATATAGGGGTTTTGTTTGTTTGGGGTAAAGAAAACAAACAACAAAACCGCCCTAGAATAAAAGAGTGAAATGAGAAGAAAGCCTGGTATCGCATATTGTTTTTCTCTATTTTAACAGCTGCGAGTTGTGAAGGCGTTTAAATCCACTCTGGAGGATTTAGAGGAAAAACGCAGCGTACACAGTTATCAAAGTCTCCATTGTATTCGTACTTCACGTAGTCATCATGGGCATCGCCCCATCAGTGAGGAAGTGTTTAATAATCATCTACTGCGTACAACATCATTCCCTATACGTAACCAGTACCAGTACGCTTCATTTCATGTACACTCCCCAGACCGTGAGGCTACAACTCCAGTGGAGCAATTTAAAACAAGGTCTCAGTCTTGCGAAAATGTTCCTCTTGTGATTAAACAGCCTTCCCCTCTCCTCGCTACCACAAACCCAGCACTTAAACGATCTCCGCCAAAATCAGTATCGAGACCCGAGGGTGGTGGCGAGGTCACAGAGACATGTATCTGACTAGGACAGCCTCATCAACTCACTAAGCACAAAGACTTTAACTGTAGTTGATGAGACAATTAACAATGTTTCAAAATATGAAAGTGAATTGGGGGTAGATTATTTGTGCAAAAATGTTTAGATTTTTATTGTCTGTATTGTTTTTATGAGGTTGTTATTGACGGTAACAGCGCATTTTGCTAGAAGTTTTTACAAAGTTTATTGTGCCATGGCGGCACCATTACAATTAAAGTAAAAGCAACATTAACTAGGGAATCGCACTATGTCAATACTGTTGTTAAAAAACACTGTAGATTACGTAGATTTTGCACTGGCGTGTTCCATATGGTATGACATTTTGTGAACAGTTAATACACGTGAGAATAATTTCTCCAGTAACATAATATATTGTTAAACATAGTTCAAACATCGCAAAATGCGTCTATTGTAGAAAAAGGATGTAAATTATATGTTGTCATAAAAGTTGTATCCAGTGATTTCATAAGAATTTGTTACGTCTTTAGTTTAAATGTTATTATATTAATAACCCAAGTTGATACGTTATTTCATTCGTAACATTTGTTTAAATGTTATCTCAAAATCTGTTCCGTAAGTTTTCTTGTCAAATTCAGACTTCATGTTGTAATTTTAGATTGTCCACATTAAAAGTTTTATTGTCTTCTTGTATGGCATTGTGATCAAATTGTTTTATGCAAGAATTTAGGGTGCCGATATATTGATATCTATAGGTCTCATTGTATGGTTTTTAAAATGGTTGATTTTAAAGCCACATGAAATAGGAAATAAATTTCAAGTTACAATCATACTCTGAACAAATCATATCATGAACATTCCACATGATCACTCACTGAAAACATGGCAATAATTCATTATGAACAAAAATCTTGATGGAAATTTAACTGTGATGCATGTAAAATGGAGGCGGAAAGCAGAAAATGAAGGATAAAATACAATAAAAAAAGGTATTTGTATTGATTTTACCACAGATAGGCATGATTATATTGTGCAACACATATACTCAAATATATGTTTCCAGAAAATACCACTTTTGGTTTTAGTTTAGCTCACCTGACACATGTTTAGAGAGAAATTTGTTCACATATTTAGTTATTGTATCACGTTTATGACACAATCCTTGAGATTAGAAACCAGGGAAATTTCCGCCACAACTTTGATATTTCACGATGGTGTGTGAAATAATGAAAGAATGAGTTACATGTATATAATAGTAAAGATTTATTGCTGGAAATTGTGATATTGCAAATTTTAGAATAAATATGGTAATGTGAATATCTGATTGAGTATGTCTCTTAGGATAAATATGGTTTTCAAAGATATTTATATGTATTTCCATTTTTTATTTGGAAAAGGAAAATTAAATTTTCATAAATCTGTTTAGAGGATGCCAGTCAGTTCACATGGTAGTAATTGTATATATGATATCACGGTTGAACTTTTTTATCAAGACATGAACTTTGTTCAGCCGTTTGTTCTCAAAGTAAGGTTTTGAATTTCAAGTTGTGTTTACTTTTACTTTATTTATGATTCTTGAATTCAATAGAAATGAAAATGTTACCAAAATGATACAGCTAAAGTTGGGTTAGCCCTCCATATAAACAAATTGTCTGCAATGTCATTTGTCAAAATTCTCTTTGGTTATTACTGGTATAAACGGGAAAGTAGTTCAGATTATATATATTTATTGTATAAAAAAAGAGGAGTTTTTCAGAGGCCTTTGGTATACATATCACTGTTTTACACAAGTGGGTGGGGTACAAGTATCACTGTTTAAGCAAGTGACAGGGGTATCCGTTATACAGTATAAGAGAGTTGAGAAAGAAAATGAAAATATAAAACATAAGTTCTAGAGGTTTATAATTTGTGTACAGCTTTTCTTATCAATTCATTGATAGGTTATCATAAATATTACTTGAGATATTGGAAGTTAATGGGTGGGGTATTTATTTCAAAGGTTTTTGTCAGGTGAGTTATCCACCTATAGTCTGTCCCTGTAATCAGTATTGTGGCTTCAGTTAGATGATGTATTTATTGTTGTCATCCATAATCATAGATGTCAATTATCGTGTAAAATCCTCTGTTCCAAGACGGGATATGTTGACCAAAATTTCATTTTTCAG